ATAAATGACGTGTGTTTCCATGGGACTAACGTCCTGACGTTGTTCGCAGGTGTTCCCTCTCACATCAGGTTGAGCTTTGCTCTCAGCGATTGCGCCTCTGCACCAGCACGTTCAAGAGTGCTAGCACCCATTGGTCAAGCTATACAAGATGGATGCGGCGACCCCGATGTATCTACCATGACTGGTGCGTTGAGCTGACCGGTAGCCTATCGAAATTGGAGGCCTCTTGTCTTCCACATCTCTAGGTCGAGTTGTAAACGATGGCTTACTTTAGGGACACTCCTATTTGTCGTCAGTGATTGGACCAAATGACGGATGCTCAACTCGGCCGAGGATCACAGTAGCTTCCGATACCAGCCCCATGGGGCATTCCAGTACAGTCTGATCCACGTCGGGAATCTGCACCTGAGAGGATATATCTGGCACCAGAAAAGACGCAAGGCTACTATTAACGACGATCAAGGTGTTCGAGCACTTAATCCCGTGGTCTGGATGGGAAGCTGAGGCCAGCCGTCCGACCAGCAGTTAGTCGGCCCTCTTCTAGATCCGTAATACGCGACGGCTCTCCCCCATGAACTGCTCGGCATGATCGGCTTTGTCAACATCCCCTGTGCCCACGAATCATTCATCGTATCATTCAGCCGCGGCACTCCAAGACTCTAGAGTAGATCGGGGCTGTCGTCATTGACCACCGGGTTACTACAGCACCGTATTTGCAGTAACGTCATTCGGAGACAAGGGCGGTTCGTGCTTGGTCCTGCTGGTGTGATATGCAGTTTTGCTGTTGAGGTTGGCTTCTGGTGTTCAGTAAAGCCATCTCGATACAGCACCCATATGCTTGCAGCTGTCGCTATTCGGTTATATACACATTTGAAGGTGCGACCTGCAAGCGGAGTCGCCTCCAGATAAGGACCGCCAGCATGTGTCGCCACGCACTCATTCATCTCGACTGCAGCGCCTGATGCTGCGGTGCTGGGGTTGCTGCATCGTATCTACGGGAAGGCCCGACCTCAGATCGCGTCTCCGAGAGGGCCGAGTTCATGTGCACATGTAGCAGCGACATGTTCTCAGCTACATGATCTTAGCCATCAAGTGCGAAAGCCAGTGTCTCACTACAGTTGGGCCTGCTTATCATGAGAAAAGGGCCAAGGACGGATTTCGGGGACCAGATCGAGCTGCTAACACACCTTATGGCTCATCATTGCTCGTGTATGCGATCATGTTGCAGCTGGCCAAGTTATCTGACTTCAGAAGGTCGTACAGAAAAGAGAAACGATGCAACATTACTTGGGCACAGTCCAGATGCGCGACGTAAGTAGTGCTTACAGGTACCAGGCGTTGGACTCATTCTTGCGACAACCGGCCAAGTAACGAGAGTTGAAGACGCTCAAAAAGGATCTTGTTGCTGCCTGTGCGCCTACTAAATTCTGGCTTCGTCAGTGTCTCACGAATATTGCCACGTCTGGTGCAGGGTGAGCCCGGCTTACATAAAGTAGGTCCCTTTTGGCAAGTGCTTAGCTTTGCGTCTCCACTACGCCCCCTCGTGGGAATGGCGTTTGCTATGCTTGACTGGCCAACAACAGCGAGCGGCGGTGCGGTGAGGCTGGAAAGTCAATCCGGCATCGTCTTGCGAGGCGAGACTGGCGTAGGTTTACAGCCCCCAAACCCTTGCCCCACTTGGCTCTTATCGCCTGAACCTGGCAGTAGCGGCCTAACCCGCCGCAACAAACATGCATAGCCTTGAGCCTGCGAAGAGGAGCATGCGTCCTCAAATTGGACTGATGCGTCCTGTCGTTTCGCGCTAGCCATCAAAGTTGTCCCTCGGGATAATTTTGGCGACTTTGAAGTGTGTCGCTGAAGATCTTCACGCGTCACCGCACTCCAGGGCTGTCTTCGAGCTCAGCTGCATCCTGTCATCAAGTGCCAAGGAGGGGTATATATGGGTACCGTCTCGTATGAGCTTAGCTTGGGGAACGCACATATACCCGCTTACATCCCGTACATAGTACCTGAGTACGCCTCCAACATACCTCGTAATCATCGGTACATCGACTAGACCTCCCAATCACATCACACTTTCAATGAGTCACCCCGGCCTGATTGCCTGCACCAGATGTGCCATCTCTAAGGCACGGTGCGACAGGAAGGTGAGTACCTAGCCAGAGTGCACTTACTGAGCCATCAGTGCAATATCTAATAGAAACACAGGTACCATGCTCACAATGCGTTGCAAGAGGCTATGTTTGTCAGCCTAGAACTACCTCGCGTAAGCCGCGAGCGCCTCGAAAATCGACGGCACGGAGTCAAGCGTCAACAAGCCCGACAAACACCAACTATTCTAACGGCAACCATGTGCCGAACATGGATCAATTTACTGGCTATATGGTGCCAGAGAATCAACCACCACAGAATAGCGACATGCTTGCATTCGCCAATTCGGCTTTACCCACACCATCTCTGGATCTTGGTGGTTACGACGACTTTATGAGCTTCCCATATCCCGGTGCTCCAGCTAACAGCGAAGCTATGGACACCTCAAACAATCTCTTCGCTTCCATATCATCGATGGATGTTCACCCTAGCGATCCCTTGTATCCGCCAGGCTGTGTAGGCGGCGGTCAAGGGCTTCAACAACAACACCATAACCTGTCACATGGGCCAAACCAGCCGTTAACACCACCTGATACGATACATCGAGGGAGCACAAGCATACCAGCGAGTTCGCCAGGCTTACGAAACGCTTTTACACCAAAGCAGTATCCACAGAAAGCTGTGCACCAATTTGCGACATCGGATGATGTACTCGCGCAGATGGTGGATGTACTCGCACAGCCTACCGCATGGCAAGGGCTTGCGGAGAACGACAGCGAACCCAGCCAGTCTCTCACACACGATGCGAGAGACCGGATTGTCGCAACTGTACAGATACTCTTGCAACGGGCACTCTGGAGCCGACAATCTCCTTCAACATCAAGTCAAGGCCTCTTTGGACGCATCGTAGTCCTCCCACCCTCCAACGTTCTTATGCACTTTATCGAAACGTACGCAAACCGCATCGACTCCATTCAGCCCTATCTGGGTCTCGCTGGCTCCTCAAGCATCAACATCACAGACATTCTACAAGTCGACAAGGCCGATGTCGGGATTCTACTCATCATACTTCTCATCTCCCAAGGTGCTATGCTTACAGATCATTTCGAATCCCACGTACTCGCCAACGGCTTAATAGAAATATGCAGGATTGCATTGGACGACGTTCTTGAGAGCCGCAGCATATCGCAACCAATGATCGGAGGGATTGCACTGCAGTTGCTTACACTCTGCGCACGGAGTGGTAAAGACTCTTTTGCTGCGTATGCCATGTCGAAAAGAGGGCAATATCTTAGTGTAAGTCATCAACCTTATGCGTGCGCTGGGAACCTGGACTAACTTCGACAGATGCTGAAATGCACTGGCGTATTACAGCCTGAACAGACGGTGCACAATCCAAGAGCGGAAGGAGCAGAGATGTGGGAAAGATGGAAAGAGCAAGAGCAGCGCAATCGGTAAGCTACATCTCACACTACCCCCCGACGTTCGACTAACATTTCTAGTCACGCATATGCCTGGGTCTACGTAGACCTTGAGATCAGCTTGTTGCACGACCTACCACCAATTCTCTCGATCAACGACCTACAAGTGCCCCTGCCGCAAGACAACGAGATGTGGCATGCCAACTCATACAATGAGTGGCTCGAGCATTCTGGCGCCAACGGCAACAAACCAGGACCCTGCAATGCCGCAAAGTTTGGTGCCTGGCTTGAGAAACAGGGTTCTGTTGGACCCCGCTCTGGGCACTCAACTCCATCCCTCAACGGCCTCTTTCGAAGTTTCCTCCAGGGTCGGCTGGCAGTCGGTGATGACGTACCCTTACACCACCTTCGTCTGCTTCTGCACCCCATTCTGGCCATGGTGCTCGAGCAACAGCAACTTCTGCGCATTTTCGACGCCGACGAACCTTCGAATCGATACCGGGTGCTTTCTAAGATCAAGATCTTAGGCCGCCTGCAGGAGACGCAAGACTTGCTCCAAGATCTGGCAACGCTTCTCTCACGGTCAAAAGCTTCTTCCAGCAAGGAAGACGAGGGTGAAGTAACCCCCACCGACTGTGTCAGCATGATAATGCTCCATCTGGTTAGCCTGAACGTTTTCACCAGCATCCCCGAGATTGAGAAATGCGCCAAGGAAGACCCGCCCATGTCAGACACGGCCCGTGCGGACATGTGGCGGTGGGCACGTCATCCCGAAGGAGAGAGATACGTGCTGTTCCATGCCGGCCAAATCTTCAGATTGATCGACAGATCGACCATGGACGCACGGCCAACCTGGTGGCCGGTAGCTTTGTATCGTGCGGCCATGTCTTGTTGGTCTCTCCGATCTTGGGACCGTACCTCCTCATCGGCGGCGGTGGAGTGTGGCATTGATGCCCTATTGCCCTCGGAGGAAGAGTGCTTCCTCAACACTACCACTGGCACACCGGTCGTCACACTCGATGATAAGAGACGGTTACCAATCCTGGAAGGTAATAACAGCTTGCATTACTGCATCAGCAAGCTGGAGAGTCATCCTACACATTGTTCACGCAACGTCATCGAGAAAGCTCGTTACTTCTTGACTAGATGGTGTTGATGGTGTTTATGATCACGAAAATTGGGCGCAGGCGTTCAAAAGCACGTATGGGATATCGATAGAACAGGGCTGTCAGGAACATCACTTGGCTGCCGTTGACGAAGAAGCTTGTCTCGTCTTGGCTGTGCCGTTGCAACAATAGAATACCCCGATGAGTTTCACCACGATCACGTCCAAAATTCGGCAAGGTTCAAGTCAACGTGTACTTCAAAATCCCTCTCATGTACAACAGCGCGATTCATTTGGTTGGCTAATGGAAGGCTTACACATTATCTAAATCCCACCACTTCAACTACATCATGCAAAGAAGAGCCACGATCGCAAACATGGCTTCACAAGTTCTGAGTAATACCAGGACTCGCCTTCTCCAATATCCCAGCCAACTCATCCCAAACCCTCTTTCCCAGCTCCGCACCTTCCTGGCTCCTCGCCAGCGGCGACGGTTCCTCCACATGATCGTCCAGGATATACTCGCCCTGACTATTCGGCAGCGCAGTCGCATTCACTAACAACCGGCTGCCCACCTCGACCTGGCGTCCCAAAACCTTCTTGAACACCACAGGCGCCATGCCCATATCCTTGACCAGATCTGACTTGCAAAGACCAGGCGTAACACAATTGATGACAACGGGTTCCTTCTTCTTGTCCTTGATAATGACTTGGGTCAAGTGCCGAACGAGGAGAATCTGCATGAGCTTGGAGACGTTGTAGCGGTCTGCCATGTCGGCTTTCTTCTCGTCGTCCAGCTCGGCGAAGATGCTGTCTGCCTTCTTCTGCGGGAACTGCGTCCAGTGGTGTACCTCGGATGTGACGATGGTGAGATACGGCTTTGTCTTGTGTATTTCCGCTGTTCTTCGCAGAACAGGGAGCAGCAGCAACGCAAGCATGAAGGTGGAGATGACATTGACGGTAATGTGCGCTTCATGCCTTTCAATTCTCTCGAACTTGCCCTGAGCGATACCCGCATTCTCCAACACGATATCAATGCAAGGCAGCGTCTCGCATCTCTTCGCAAATGCCTTCACGCTAGCGTACGAAGAGAGATCCAGTTCCCAGACTTGCAGCACGCCGGTGCGCTTCGTCGTGGCTTCGATGTCGCGTTGAGCGGCCTCGCCCTTGGAGCGCGTGCGGCATGCGATGATGACGGTGGTTGCGCCGCAGCGGACAAAGTGCCGTGTTGCTTCTAGGCCGAGCCCGCTGTTGGCGCCTGTCACGATGACGGTCTTGCCGGTGAAGGTCTCCGGCTGGGGTACCTTGGGCGTGTAGAGGAGCTGAGACTTGAGGAAGGCGGGAAATGAGGACATGATTGGTGAATGTCGCGCCGAAGCAGCTATACCGCGAGAGGGAAATGCCTGGTGGAGGGTAGAGTGGGGTGGTAGCAAGTGAGGTGAGATTGATAGTCTTTCGTCTTTCGCGCGCGTATTTCAAGTCAGGCCGGCAATCTCGACGCTCTAAAGGTTGATATGAAGAGGAAATACGAAGGCAGAAGTAAGCGCTTCACCCTCCCACAAAGATCACTGACGTCAAAGAACGCACAAGAACGGCGCGCGCACGACAGGAATTAGTCATCTCGGTGTCCGGTATTGCGCGATAAACAGCGCACTTCTTTCTCGTTGGCGATGTTTCCTGGAAGGATGCGGCGTGGGTAACGTTTGTTTGTAAACTTTGTACGGAACTCCGGACTAGCGTGTTATGTCGGGTCGAAGCGACCTTGGACGCATCGAATCAGGCGTGCCATCATCTTGGAATTAAGGTTTTTGCTCGCGAGTTACTCAGCTGAGAACGGCCCGATTCCAGTTTCAGCCCCAGCGCGGTCTTGATCCGTGTTTGTGTGAAGGAGCAGCCTTGTGGTGGTTGGACTTGGTAACGCGGTCCACCTGTTTAGCAGGAACTCGGACGTGCGATAGTAGGAGTCTTGCTTACTTGATGCAGAATCTACGTGCTGGAAATCCGAGGTTTATAGGTGCCGATAGTTGGAGAGCCGGCGTAGGAGGTGCCATGAGGAGGAGACGAGGTGCGTGGATGGAGTTCGGTGATGTTTGCGGAGGAAGAGCGATGGGCGTTGGTGGAGAGATATCTTGAGAAGGTGCGTTGGAGATATAAGCATACACTGCATCTCGTTCACATCGACGCCAGCATCATCAAAGAGCTAACTTTCGTCTCTCATCGTCTTGCCATAAACCACTTTCTGCCATTCGCATCCCCAATTTTTACAACCCTTATCCAAGATGTTGTCATTTGCCCACCTCCAATTTGGCACCCTCCTCCAAGCCACCTTTCTCCTCGGCATGAACACAGCCCTATCTACCATCTCCATTCCTTCCATTCTCGAGTCTCCGTCTCCCATCCTCGCAATCAGGCAATGGCACTACCAGTTCCGCGCCGCGCAAGTCCCTGCTACTTCGCTCTCGGCATCCAACCTCATTCTGTCCGCCATCATGACATACAGTTCCTCCACCCAGCAAGGATTTACGGGGAAGACCACTATCATCTACGGCGTTAGCAGCGTATTGGCGTTCCTGATCTTCCCATTCACCCTTCACTATATGAACCCGGTGAATGATGTGTTGATTGAGAAGTTCAAAGCGCAGAAAGATTTGCATTATGCGGATCTACCGGAGAAGGGCAGGGGAATGCAGACTGCGAGAGTGAGTTCCCTATATCTTTCGTTTTGCTTGTGCACGCGCGATAGAAGAGATGCTAACGCTGTATCGTAGGATCACGACAAGATTGCCTACTGGGGCTACTTGAACCGTGTGAGGATTGTTCTTTATGCTGGTTTCGTGGCTTGCAATGCTGCTGCTATTCTGGTCTAGAGACTATCACACGGAGGAAGATGACTGGGGGCGGGTAATGCCGAGTGAGCTGGCATTGATTTGGCGGGTATGTTTCGGCAGCCAGATGCAGGCGTGTTGAGCTGGCGATACGAAGGCGAGAGCATATCAACGAGCTCTGCGTTGAAGATGCGGAGTATTGAAAGACATCAAGGGTAGTGGGATGATTGGCGTGGCTATTAGCTGGCAACGTATCGAGTTTGCGCAGATGAAATGTCCGATTCCTTTCCCGAGCATCGAGTATTGTAGTGAGCATGGTATACATTCATGTCAATGTCAATGGACCGCGTAGGACGTGTCGCCTCCAGAGACATTCATGCCGCTTTTCTCTACATTCTCATCACGAATTGTCTCTTTCTTCTCGTCTACAGCCGTAACAAAAGTGACTAGTGCTTGATCTGAACTTTCGGTCGTTGATACATCTTCTCGGGCTTCGATATACGTTGTTTTGCCTTCCGCCTTCAGTTCTCACCAAGAGAACTACTGTAGGCTTCGGATGTTCGGCGGGTTTGTTTGATAGGAGGCAGCGGTTGTTCATGCTGTTCAAATAAAGTGGCCTCCCATAAATCGGCGGCTGTCAGTTCGACTCACGTGCCGAACCTTTTCATCGCATCACGGAGCTTCGATATTCAGTCGTTGCAAGACACGTGCTGATGATTAAGAAACGATGGATACGAGTTTTGATAGAACCATAGATTATATACAACTCGATGGGACTGAGAAAACTGACGAGGCCGAGAACCAAGCTGAGAATGACAATAGCACCTAGCCCTAACTGTGGCGCAATAGAAGGTCATGCAAAAGAGTTGAAGTGGTTAAACAAACCCTTCGGGTCATATCTCTTCTTCAGCAGCCTCAGCCTTGGAAGTTTCGTCGCACCATAGACTTGCTCCGGCTTCTCGTCGCCACGTGCGTAGTTGGGAAACACATTGCCATCGGGGTTTCCGCATGCTGACATCAACTCGGTGCGAATCTTCGCGGTGAACGTGTCAACGGCGCTGGTTTGCTCCGCAGTGACGTTGCCAGGTAGGTAAAACGCAAAGAAGCCGTAGGCCACAGTTTTGCGCCAAGCGTAGGCTGTAGAATCATCGTCGATACTCGCCGTTACGCCCAGGCCAAATTTCTCTATAATCCAGTTGGTATTTTCTATTGCCGGGTTGGCACGGAGGAAGTTCATGTACTTCGTGAATGTGTCGACCAGCGCAGGTACAGTGAGGTTGTTGAGCTGAAACCCCCACATGTCCGCCCCAACACCCTTTCGCTGAGCGAATATATCGCCGCAAAAGTTGGCCACGCTTACTAGTCGGTTGTAGGGAACGACTGAAATGTTGCTGTAATATGGCTTTTGGTTGATGAACGACTTGATCGCGGCGTCGCCCTGCTGCTTGTTGCCGTAGTAAATGGCGGAAACATCGATTGTTGGCTTGACAATGTGTTAATGGAGGTCAAGCATCCGACCAGACGTGGCTAGCACTTACGACATTGTTCTTGATGGAGGATCCAATCGTCAATGCCAGCTTATCATCTTGCTTGCCCTGGTAAGTCTGGAAGATTTCAAATATCGTGGCGTTCTTCTCGGCTTCAAACGACATGTCTGCATTGTAAACCATGCCATCATTGATTGTATCGTAGATGCGATAGGTCGCTGATGTGACCACACCGAAGTTGAAGCCCGCGCCACGCATGCCCCAGAAGAGGTCAGAGTTCTCAGTAGCCGACGCCGTTAGAATCTCGCCCGATCCGGTGACCATTTCCACGGAGAGTAGAGAGTCGATCAGGAGTCCGTGTTCACCAGTCAAAGGTCCTACACCCCCACCCAACGTGAGGCCAATGATGCTTGGCGGAGAAGTCCCACCAGAAGCTGAGGGCTTTGTCAGTAATCTAGGATGCCGACTATGTCGGAGACTTACGCATCATCTTGCCGGCCGCATACAGCGGATCGAACATATCATGAAACGTAGAACCGGCTCCAACGACCATGGTGTTGGTGGATGCGTCGACTTTAATCTTCTTGAAGTTGCGCAGGTCAACGTCGAGCGCATTGTGTAGGCCAGAAAGCGTCGTCGAGTACCCGTGGCCACCTCCAGTTGCTAAAAGAGGGACCTTGTTCTTGGTTGCATACCGCAAGATCGTCTGTACATCTCTCGCTGTAGCGGGTTTGGCAGCAACGGCATAGGTTGGCTCGGCCTTATCATAGATGCTCCATCGTTGCGTGAGTTCAGTCGGATAAGAAGAATCGGTGGTGAGAATGACGTGTGATCTATTAGAAAGATTGGAGGACAAGTCGGTCTCGATCTGCTGTGTAGTGACGGCAACCACCTGTCGTGCAAGAACAGATGTGACTAGCACGAATGATGCCAAGATATCCATAACGAAGGGACGATGCAGCTAAACGCTAGCAATGCAATGCATGTACAACAAGGATGAGGGAAGCAATGAATGTATCACGAGAAAACGTGGTCCTTCCGGTTTATAAGCCCTTGGAACCTAGCTCGGGCCTTGCTTCGGGTCATATTCAGACGATGGCAATTGAAAGCATTGGGAGTGAAGGGCCACGTCTCAGCGGCAAAGCCTCATCGACCCCAAATGCGTACAATGCAGCGCGAAGAGCGGCCGTCTGAAATTCTCGAGCCGTAATCTAGCTGAACGCTTCAGCCACTGTTAGTACTTAGGACCTAGATCCCAAACTAACTTCATGTCCCATGTACTGTTCACGCAAGCGGCTGCTTCCAGCGCCAGCAGAGTGGGTACCGGGTCAGCCTTCAGAGCGCAACACAGCTGCCATCTGCATCGCGTCTTCCCTCATCCCTGGTTATATTGAGACATGAAGATGCGCTCTACGCGAATCAACGTCTGTGGACGCTGAGGGTACTGCGGAGGTCCGTGACGACGGGACGGGATCGCGTTGTCAACGTCGGTTTCGCGCTCGGCGATTTTGAGCTTATTGTCTAGCGGACTCCCGCGGCGAACTATTCGTAGCAGGTATGGATTTCGTGCCAGTGTGTGACCGGGGGAGAGCGGATTCAGAGGCGAGAAAGTCGCTGTCTAGGCTGAGACATGAGGCGTCGTGGTGGGTGGGAACAGATGGGATGGAAGACCCTCAGGCTGCGATGGTTGGAGTTTGCCAAGACCTTTAGCAGGAGCGCACGTGGCAGCCCACTTCACCCAGCTCCGGACTGGCAAGTGGAACCATGCTCTTCATCACCCCACCGCCACGCCGGTCCTGAGACGATGCTGAAAACACGATAGGACTCTCACTGTAATACGGCTCTCCACCTGTACAATGCCATCCGATCGGTGGTCGGCGGTCGCAGTACCGTTCCCAAGAGGAATTGAGCTTCGGGATGATGCCTGCGCGTTGTGTATCGAGCAAGCCACAGTATACTGATGGTGTTCGCGAGACATGACACCGAGACAGGTCCGAGGGGATGAGTGCAATGAAAATATGCCAGTACGGAGTTGAGGCGATAGTAGAGTTGGCCTGAAAACCATGAGGGCTGTAGTTATAAGCCCGGTGGACTGGCCCAAGGTTGGTACCAGTTCGACATACCATTCAGCTGTCTTTCGTTGACTCTAGCAATCATGATTGACATGGGAGTTCAACCGCTCTCGCAAGCCATGCTTTCTCTCTTCGTTCCCAGCATCGCCATCAGTGTCATCGGTGCTTTTCTTCTAGCCGTTGTTCGTCTGTTCAGGCCGAAAAAGCCCAAGTACAAGCCGTTGCCGGGCCCCAAAGGTCAGTATTCATTGTCTGAAGAAAAGGTACTTGCTGACAGTGCTATAAAGGTCTACCATGGATCGGTCCTTTCCACAAGTTCCCTTCTAAGGATGTGTACAAGAAGTTTGCTGAATGGGTAAGGTCCCCATGGACGCTTCTGACGATGTAACTGAATGATAATAGCACGAAGAATATGGTCCGATCTACCAGTTCACTCTCTTCGGCGTTAAACATATCCGTGTCAACAGCGAGAAGGTGTGTCAGGATCTTCTCGCAAGGCGTGGAGCATACTATTCCAATCGCGCGCCCACACCCAACATCCCAGGCGCCAAAACTGATGCAGAATATCTTCCTCTCTTAGACAACAATGGTGAGTATCTATCGATTCATCTTCGGATGTCGCTGACTGATTATGCAGCGGCACTTACAAGGCACCGTAAATTCGCTCACCAATGTCTGTCCGAGACCTACAATTACGACATGTTCGGCTTCACGCACCTCGAGATCACGCGGATGATGGTTTCGTTGATGAAGGACAATCGCAACTACCCCGATCTCGCCGAAGAGTTCACCCATCGTGTGAGCGCACGCCTCGCCTGGGAAGACCCCAAGCTAAGTCGTGGGCTGAACCGAAGCTCGGCTGGCCTACTTGCTGCCATATCTCCAGCAGGGAAGCTACCGAACAGGTTTCCAGTCGTTCAGAAGTTACCTAACTTGATCAACCCTTGGTATTGGCAGGAGAAGGCGCGCCATGATGCCCAGAGGGAATTCTGGGTCGGGGCCATGCAATCCGTCAAGGCCAAGATGGACGCTGGTATTCCTGGTCATTCCTGGTCTCGCACGTTCTTCAAAGACAAGGAGCGCTTGAAGTTCCCCGATGGCGTCCCAGACGAGAAGGAGGGCGCTTTCGCGATAGGCATGCTTGCTATCACAGCATCACTACCCATGTCTTCGCCCATCCAGACATACTACCTCGCTATGTGCCATTACCCCCATTGGCAGAAGCGACTACAAGACGAGATCGATGAGGTTTGCGGCCCTGACCGTCTACCCACATGGGCCGACGCACCGAAGCTTCCGGTTCTGAGAGCGATCGGCAAAGAGCTGATCCGCTGGAGACCGCCAGTCCCTACAGGCGTTCCCCACGAAGCTGAGAGGGATGATGAATACGATGGATACTTCATCCCGAAGGGTGCGCTCATCCATGCTACCGAGTGGGCACGTCGGAGTGACGAATCCCTGTATCCCAACCCGGAAGAGTTCAATCCAGATCGCTATCTAAACCCCAAATACCCCACCTACAAGGAGCCTTTAACGAAGTACCCCAACGTCATCAACCACCACGTCTTTGGATATGGTCGTCGCAATTGCTTGGGTATGGAGATTGTAGACTACCAACTGGTCACAATCATGGGCTCTCTGGCTTGGGCATTCAATGTCACCAAGAAGAAAAACAAGATTGGAATTGGTACACATCCCGCTGTTTGACACGTCGTTCTAATGCTGACATAACAACAGATATACCCATTCACACAGAAGACTGGACAGACTTGCTCATCACTCGCCCGGAAGTGTTCGTCTTCGACATCAAACCAAGAGATGCGTACAAAGAGAAGAAGCTTGTGGCCATGTATGAGGAGGCTTTGGTGGAACATCCTGATCTTGCTATCTGAACAGCTCTTCTTCCGAAGACCTTGGTGGTCTCGTACACTACGCCCTGACTGTCTACCATACCGTTACGTCTCTTTCCCTTCTCTCTATAGCGTATTTCTGTAGTTTCGCTCCTTGCGTACCAAATATAACACTTTGTCTATCCTCCAATATTGGCCCACAATTTTCTCGTGTTAGTGTTCTAGTGAGCAGTCGTGCGCGTTGCCCACGCTTTGCGAGAGCCTCTTTCTTCGTCATTCCTATTTAACCTACACATGCTTATCACTTCGTCGAAGCATGCGCCATATCCCTCACGTACGGACAGTAAGGCGTGGAACAGCGTGTACCTCGCTGATGGCACTAAGAATGGGACAACGTTCATAAAGGTAACCGCGAACACAGCTATGTGTGTTTGATTCGCTACCGACCGACTCTCACCATCGCCTAATGACAAGAGCTTTGGTCTCCCTTGGAAATCTCCTGATATCACGCTGATTATGTTGGCACATTGCCACTTATCATGTCTATAGTAGCTGTACACCAAACGTGTCAAATCAACACGCCGAAATCCGCGTATACCGCAATCACGGTCATCAGAAGCGACCCAAGCATGTTGTCGTTTTCTGATAGTGCATTGGTTGCGAATTTGGCGTGATGCCACCGGCGCGTCGCGTCCAAAGCACGCGCCCCCAACCACCACCAGCATGAAGAGGACGTCCGCAAAACATCGGTGCGATCGCTCTAGCTGACTAAAGATATGCGCGACCCCGATGCAGTAGCTCGCATCAACTCAAGAGGTGCTGACAAAACACCGAGGCCTTTGTTCGTGGGAGTGGCGCTTGTCCGCTAGCGCCGACGGAACTCCGTGCAAGAACGGAAGCGACCAAGGAGGTCCTTCCCCAACGCAGACCAAACACTCCAGCGGGCTCCTCGCATGAAGATGATTTTCGTCCGTCCTCGCACTTCGGGACTGGGGCCGTTGAGGGAGGTTGATCATGCTGCGGCATGGTTGAGACTACTATTTGGCTAATAACCTGCGACGTGAAGCATCAGTAGTACAACCATCAAGCACCGTCGTCTCATTTTTCTTCATATCAGCTGCCAAAATCTTGCAAACATGAAGGAAGACGTTCTTAGACGCCCAGACGAGGAGAAAGATCTCCATTCCACGGAAGGATCGCTCAACACAGGGTCGCTGAATACAGGGGAGGAGAAAGAAGAGCTAGCGCATATCCAGTTGACGAAAGGACGATTCGTACTCGTACTCGTGGGCCTGGTCTTAGCCATTTTCCTTGTTAGCAACATTTCCACCCATGAATGCGAAAACCAGAAACTGACCCATCGCTGCAGGCTTCCCTAGACTTTGTAAGTACGAGCACCGAGTATCTTTTCTTCGACCCTTTCCAAGCAAGGCCTAATTGAACGCGCAGACCATAATCTCGACAGCCATCCCCAAGATCACCGATGAGTTCAAGAGTCTCCAAGACATCGGCTGGTATGGCTCGGCGTTCTTCATCACCACAGCTGCGACTACAGCGTTCTGGGGACGACTGTACACTTTCTTTCCGCTGAAGTGGACGTATCTCATCTCCATCTTCTTCTTCGAGTTGGGTAGTGTGATCTGCGGTAAGACTAGTTCTTTTGTAATTTCTGACGCGGTTGTCTTCTCCCTTCGAGATCAACAGCATACTGATGGTTTACGTGAACAGGTGCCGCTCCAAGCTCTGTAGCTCTAATTATCGGTCGCGCGATATGCGGTGTCGGTGCCGCTGGACTGTTTTCTGGCTCGTATACCATCATTGCCGTTCTAGTACCCTCAGCAGATCGCCCCAAGTACAGCGGATTGATGGGCGCAGCATACGGTCTCGCCAGTGTCGTCGGTCCGTTGATCGGTGGTGCTTTCACTAGCCACGTCTCATGGCGCTGGTGGTACGTTACGCCTTGTCGCGAAGCCTTTGGAGGCTCTCGCTAATAGCTCCACAGCTTCTACATCAACCTTCCCGTCGGCGGTGTATCGTGTCTCTTTATCCTCCTCTTCTTCGCCAACGAACCACCCAAGACTCGTCCTGACTGGCGTGGCATGCTTCGCACACTCGATATGCCCGGGTTGATCCTCATCATCGGCGCAATCGTTTGCTTCATCCTTGCGCTTCAATGGGGAGGTATCTCGAAGGCTTGGAACAGCGGTGCTGTGATTGGCACCCTGGTAGCCTTCGTCGTGTTGATGGCTTTGTTCGTCGTCAATCAGTGGTGGCTGGGTGAGAACGCCATGGTTCACAGCCTGATCATCCAGAGAAGAACAATCTGGGTAGGATCGATGTTCTCGTTCTTGATCAACTCTGCCTTCTTGGTCACGTTCTACTACTTGCCGATTTACTTTCGTAAGTTAGATGAGCTACACATCATGTCGACCATGACTAATGATCGATAGAATCTGTGCAGGGCGTTTCGGCAGCCTCGAGTGGTGTTCGCACTGTACCCTTCATTCTCGCAGTCAGTAAGTAGATCATTCAAGCCCAACCTTTTCGCCAGATGCTTACAATATTGCCAGCTATCTGCGTCGTGATCGTTGGTCAGATCATCACGAAAACCGGGTACGCGTATCCGTGGATGATTGGAGGAGCGGCCATCACCACCATCGGTGCCGGTATGATCTATACCTTCGATGTCGATTCGCCCGCCAAAGTCTGGATTGGATACCAGATACTGTGCGGTATCGGTATCGGAGTGAGCTTCCAAGTCCCTGTCATGCTCATCCAAGCGACTACGAAGGAAGTTGATGTGCCCTTGGCTACTGCCACACTCCTATGTAAGTTGCAATTCACACCCGCTCTGCTTAGGTCGCATTACTAATGACCCTTACAGTCATTCAGACCCTCGGTGGTGCTTTTGGCGTCTCGTCCGCTCAGGCTGCCTTCCAGAACACGCTCCTAAAGCAGCTGCCCATCACAGCTCCCGGCCTCGACCCTCAGATCGTCCTAGACGCCGGTGCTTCCGAGCTCAAGACTCTAATCCCGGCACAATTCCTTGAGGGAGTGCTTGAGGCCTATGTGGCCGGTTTCCGGGAGTGTCTCATCGTTGGTATTGCATTTGGTGGCGCCGCGTTCCTTGCTGCTTTTGGGTTCCGCTACACAAACATCAGGAGGACGGCCGCCTTGGAGGCGTGAGGGGAGAGAAAGTTGTCAATGTGAGTTGGAGGGAAACGTTCTCTTTTATCTGGATGATGCCTCGAGAAGGTTGTCAGTATTGTACTAGATTGTAATTAGCATACCGCCGGTTATGTGTGCTGGCGCAAGGCCAAATTTCCTCTAAAATCAAACATCCAACATGTCGACAGTTTCCGTATCACCTTGCCTGATACATATATACGTGAAGTTTCCTGTAGGGCTCGATGCCAATGGACACAGGGATTTATACAGGCCCACCAAAGGCATTCCACTGGCCGAGGGCACCCCAATCATCCGCAGCATCACTGAAGTTTCCATTTCCATTCCCGTTCATGCCAAGTGACATTCCCATGCCGGGGAATTCCATGCCTCCTTCGAAACCATCCAACCCAGCGCCGGAGAAAATGTCCAGGTCCAGGTCAAGCCCAAGCTGAGCACTCGCTGGGGTAATCTCTTCCGCCGGTCGGGTATCCAAGACTGTATCAATGACCTTAGTGAAGATCTTGCTCGCCTTGCGAAAGAGGTTATAGTTGGCTTCGCCGTGTCTAGCTCCAGAGTTTTCCATGTGTGCGGCCGAATCAAGATGTGATATGAGCACGCTGAGCATGCGAATAATCTCCGCGCGAGATATTTCAGCGGGGAATTGCTGACCTGTTCGGTGTTGTTCGCGCAAAGCTGTAGCAAGTACCGACGCCGCGGGTACACCAAACAGCAGTAGGGCGTTGAGCATGTCGCGTTGAACGTCGTATGATCGATCGCGTATTCTACCCAAGGTAAGTGTATTGCAAAGAAGATCAACAGAGACGCGCAATAGCGCAGTGTTGAGCGTCAATGGGCTGTAATCGAGCAGCTTTTGAATCATGAACTCGTTGTACCAATGCGTGAGGTGTATGATGGACAACATCAGACAGATTACCGTAGGAACATCGTCTTCCCAACAGGTCTTCCAGTATCGCATGTGTTTGGGTAGCGTCTCCCAGGAAGTGCGTACACGCTCGGATATATCTCTACAAACCTGTTAACAGAAGCCAAAGTAGGGTCATCGTGGCATACGTACAGTAACTGAGCTTCCGCGTTTGCGTCTATCTTGACGAGCGAGAATTCCAGAATTTCTTCGCGAGATCGGAGGGATATGTGACGTAGGCGCTAATGTACGTTAGCTGGGGGAACGAAACCAGGTAGGTGAAAGACTCACGATCCAGGATGCCCTCAACCATCTGCCTTTCGTGTTCCAACCGTCCTCGTCCAATGCTGCGATGGCAGAATCCAAGGTCGCCTGGTCACCGGTGACTTCATTATCGGCCAGGTCGAGAGGGAGCTCGATGTCAGTATGTCTCTTGCTGATACGTATCGGACGGCCAAGGAAGGTGGATATCGACTTGTCTTGGTTGTATGCCGAACAGAAAACCCTACGGCGTGTTTCTGTCAACCATTTCGGAGCATGGGCGCACTTCTTCTCTTGATGTATACCCAGTGCATATATCTGGGTCGACAGTTCACCTATCCGTCGCCAGCTGGGTGGACCTTGGTAGCCGCAGATCATGATTGTAAACAGGTAGTTTTCGTAATACATCCAGATCGTTATGTCGTTGACTGTCGCAAGCATCGTTGTGAGAAAAAGACAGGTCGTACTCGCGCGAAGTAGCTCATCGGCAAAGTGTAACTTCATGTCCTTGTTGGCAGGATCACTGAAAATATCCGGAACGAAGCCGAACGTCAGCGATCGCCCGGCCGTCGCGAGGAGAAAGCCGATAGTTTCGAATCGTAAGTTATCGCCAGAACACAAGATGTGAAAATCGTGTGCTTCCATTGACTGTGATACTGTGAAAGGGCGTGCAGTTGTTTCGAGTACTTGGCTTATCAGCAGAGAACTGGGTTTCTTCCGCCGAAGGTCATGCTTGTCAACAACAGCTTCTAACGCATTTACGGCGTCGACCTGAACCTGGGCAGGTATTACACCTGCTTCATTTGTTGCATTGTACCACAGAACGAGCTCTTTGATTGCGTTGTAATGGCGAAGAGTGCTCAAAACGTCACAAGCCATCTGGTATCGCATGGACTTGGACAGGGTGTGCTGGTGTGTAAGTTCGCGGTCTGATCGTTCTGATGCAACAGACTCCTCGCGTTCACGCATCTGACCGGGTTCTTCATCCTGAGGAAGAAGTACGGCGTACGATCCAGGCCCGAGGAACCCAGGGTGATATACATCAGCAGCAACGGCATCCGCAAGTTTGTCACCATGCGACGGAGACGTTGGGGCAAAAGCGGCAACAGCATCCGAAGCCTGCTTCGAGGGTCGTCTATTCGAGTCAAAATACTGATGCGAATGTAGTTTCCAATGTATGCATACTTTCTTTTGGGAGGACGGGCTTCACCTGTTCCTGACTCATCGGCACTCTGACGCTGTCTGGTGAGAGGTGCTGGGTGGTAGAAGCAGCGATCTTCAATACCACGTTGACGACATCGATCACACTTGGGATGGCCATGATCACACTTGGTTTTGTTCAGCCTGCATGGTTCGCAGGATGCTGGCTTGCCATTGCGCCTACTGCTGCCGGCGTCCCTGTTGGTTGGTTAGCAGATGGATAGTTGTAGACTCAACGCGTGGATTACATGTCGATAACTGCACCAGTATGTGCACGGAAGGTTTCTCAATTCATATGTGTTTGACATAATCTCGGAAACACGCGTCGGTGAGTTCGTCATGTCTGTGGATGGGCGCAGGCGAGATTGTGACGCGGGTTGCCTAAGCGCGAGGTGTCTTATCGATAAGGGACGCGTGCAGCCCGTGACGCCCTCTCCTCCTCCCGAGGTCCTTGACTGCCATCACGCACCCATCGCTACGCGCCGGCACACATGCATGATCATGTCAGCCAAATATCAGCCTCCGCCTGGTAGAAAGGGGCAATGGCATCCGGATGGTCTACTTCCATGCGATGCACAGCCTCACGCACAGCCTGCCAGCCTTCATATGGAAAACCTTCTCTATGCGCATTCAGCGATCTACTGCCTTCACTCTGCCATAGTAATTGAGGCTTACGGGTTGCCCAATATACACAATGGGCATGTTTCTAGGACCTCCCCCACCTGATCCCCTCCGAATACGTCTCGCGCACGCCTTGGGCTTCCCGAATTACCCCAACGATGACACCGTCGAACCGTACATCAACTACCTTCTGAACCAGCACGATGCTCGTGGTACTCCAGAATACGAAGATCTTCTCATAACCATAGTACAATACTTCCATGGCCCTCAGCCCCTTGGGTCAATGAAGAGGAGCATTGAAGGGCTGCTACACTCGCTATCCAACCACCCGAACACACAATGGCACGAAGAGGACACGGTAGTGCGCGCTATTGGCAGCTGCACACTGTTACTGAGCTCGTTCACCGATCTACCAACTGTAGCCGGTAAGCTCCGAATGGTGACGGCAAGCTACAATCTGCGCATGCACGGAAGCCTGCTGGGTGGCCAGCCATACTTCGAGAGCTTGGCAGAATTGGTAGCGGGCAGCGGCCTGTTACCAGCGCCTGTTGCATTTGCCTCTGTGGTGACCATGGCAGATTTAGAGTCCTTGGAGTCGCTCTTTGTTGACGCCACCCACCTCAACGCGTACAGGTTGACTGTGTTCGGAGCAGTGGAAATCACCTGGACTCACAACATCTCCCGGCACCTCCTGCTATCGAACCGCAACGGACGTCGCATACTTGAGATCTTCGCGCTACCATGCGCCTTAGACGCCGCTCCCCTTAGGATGGTTGGTGTTGGTAATGAGCTGGCGCAAGAGGTCATGGAGTCATACAGCTTGCTATTCAACGCCTGGCCCTCATTGGGTCCTCATGCTAAGCTTGGTTTATGGGTACGTGTTTCTCTACGAACTGCATATGGAGCATACACTGACTTGGTATACCTATATACAGCGGCGATGTTGCCCATGTCAGCCATGTTCTGCTCGACGATACCGCAATCGCGCGATCAGCGATTACCAAGCCTTTAGTCGACTTCAACGTAGCAGCGAATACGACCCCAAGCTTCCTCACCTCATGAGCGCCATAAATCAGCAGCCGATCGCATGGACACCAGGCATATTCCCTCATCTCTGGTCTCGAATCATGATCCTAGATGAGCATCTGCAGCAGGCGAAGCCATGGAGCATTTGGGTCTTGTTCCGTAACCGTAACGATACCTTGCAATTCTGGACGTTCTTGTAAGATACTCAACACTGTTGCACCTCATAAAACTGACAACATGCAGGTTCGCTACGATCGTGGTCTTCATGACCGCTGTTCAGGTTTTGCTTGGCGTCGCACAAGTCGTGGGGTCGTTCCGCTGATGAACGACATCGGAAGCATTCAGCCTCGTATCACGGGCGGCTAGCCCCCACTCGCAGGTATTGCGAAGATCCATGGTGCGCGTTCGCTTATGCGCCTGCCTGACTGGTCGCGACGGAGAACACCATGATTGTGCAGCTGGCTTGTCTCCAGCCTTTGATGCTGTTGCGAAAACCGGATCTGACACGTTGTGTTCTAAAGGTACTTCTTAACATGGATGGAGCTTACTTGCTACGATGCCTTTCTCCCCGATCCTTTACCGCCTATAACTTGTGTCGTATTTTCCAGCCACACGAGCAAGATGCAGCTATCGCCTGAAGCCCAAGGCTATCGCCAGCATATACTCAACTACGCTGCACGTTCATATACTCGCACGCTTTTCTTTGGCTATCATTACAGATTTCTCGCTGAGCTGCTCCGAGCTGATGAGGCACATCTACCCAAACAATACAGTGACCTTGAAGCGTATCATCTTGGCCATTTGTCTGTGTATGGGCCGCCTTGTCATGGCTCTGAGCAGTTTCAACGTCATAGTTACAAATATTCTCAGTTACAGGACCTAGTCGCAACTCCGCCTCCGAGCAAAGGGCAAGGACAGGTCCTTTTCCTCAATGGACATCTTCCAGGGTCTTGGATATGTGAAGTGGGCGCGAAATACAATATCGCTCCCGAGTTCTTTCGGCAGCATATCCATCTTTGGCGCTCGACTGACGGGCCTGTTCTTCACGCAATCACGAGAAGCCCATACGCCACTTCGAACAAAGGGCTCCTACTGCGTCTTAACACCCAGGGAAACTTTGGCAAGAACAAGCTGCCTGTAGACTCATTCAGTAGCTTGATCTTGCAAGCGCGACGAAGGCTTCTACCCGACGACGTTGAGTGGATGCCCAGACGTTTGGCCGCAGCTCCTGGCTGTTCGTATGTGAGAGGCCATGCATATCTTAGCAATCTTCAATTTGTCATCGAGCAAGATGTGTCCATCACCGTTGAGTCAAATGGAGACGGCTGGACTGGTGAGCGACCTGTCAAACCTTGATTTCGTTTCGTCACCGCTTACCATGTGTATCAGCAATCTTGTGGACAGATGTCGGAAGCAGAAATCTCTCTCATAGCCGCACTTACCATCATTTCGTCGAGTATATGGCGGCCAAGACAGAAACAGGACGCCGAGACATCCGCTTATTACCTGTACATTTGCTGGGACAGGAGTCGACGATCAAACATCCATGGCCGCTGCCCGTCCCCGATCTCGATATCACGCAAGACACAGATGGCTCGCTCTTCCAGACAGCGTCCCATCTACCATCAGAGCTCCACGTAATGCTCGATGATCACGAAATCGCAGGGCAAGATCCGCTATACGCACTCGCACCTATCCTCCTGTTCGCAGCTGCCTCAGAGATCCAGCTACTATCAACACTCCAAAAATGGTACGACATTATCGCATCGACGAAATGGGATCGGAAGTACTCAACCGAGCATCTGGAACAACTCATAATGCACAAACACCTCCTGGATGACCACGCCAGCCGACACGAAGAGGTTCTACGATTCATCAGCTCGCCAAAGCTGGCTCGATGGGCGGCCAACCTCACACAAGACCAGAGCGATGTAGCTCAGGAAGCCAAAGACGCAGTAAAGGCTGACTACGAGTTCCTCCGATCGCGATGCCGCCAGCTGTCGCTACACTACCAGGAAGCGATATCGATCCTGGTCAGCGCCACTTCACTTGCAGAATCGCAGAAACAGATCACGCTAGCCACTCAGGTTACGAAGCTCACTATACTTGCGACCGTCTTTCTTCCACTTTCATACTGCACTTCGATATTCGGTATGAACTTCGTGGAACTGGAGCAGTTGAACATATGGATCTGGGTAGTTGTTACTGTGTCTGTTGGGCTTGCGACTTTCACTGTTTACCAGTGGGATGAGAGGCAAAGACTGTGGGATTTCTGGGCTACGGTGAAGGCTAGGTTTCGTTTCATTCGCTGGCGACGCGATGACTCGGCAACAGTATAACGTCGGAAACCCGGACAAACGCTTGCCATCAGTATATATGGTACTTCTTGAGTTCGGCGGGGACTTCGAACGCTCCATAGAATGCAACTCTTCCAGCTCTCAATCGCCGCTCCAGTGCATCACCCTCCATCTCGAAATTCTGCACGTGACCACTGCGCTGTACAAAGCTTTGGAAGCCTACGACACCTGGGCCTTCGGTTCCATCGGTCCTCGTTCCATCCGCATAAAGTGCAGTGCCGCTATGGCCGTTCGGTGGGTCGAAATCAGGATAGACACGGTACAGGATTGCGCGTGACACGAGATCCTCCCATGTTGCCGCATCGTGGTGTTTGAGACTCTTCGAATTGCCCGCTGCAGCTTTCTGGTTCAGGAAGATGCCTTCGCCTACCACGAGGATGTCTGATGGACGACTGCATTTGATGCTTTTTGCTGCCTGTGAGCCTCCCGCGGACTCTGAGCTTTCGGCATCAGCTAAGATCTTGATTGTTGTCGTCTGCTGGCGGAGCGAAATCCACGAATCGTGGTTGAGCCAACCGATACCGCTGATAGGGGACGCGACATCTTTCACCAAAGTCCGATGCGCGGGTTTGATGAGAGTGATGTCGTGGTTGAAGCCGTTCGGATAAATTCCCACTTCCTGGTCAAAGCTTTGGTGGATCGTTCCGCACTGATGGATATGTTAGCATGAAAGCGCATCGACAGTAGTGCACGATGATACAGCCATGCTGTACGAGTATCATCGGCGTGCTCAGTATACTAACATTTCCACCGCCAGCCCAGATTTCAACATGCTCATTCCAATCATCTCTTAGTTTCTGGACTCGTTCATCATGTTTCCGGCCAAGTATGCTGTCGCGATGCGACTTTGCAAGAATCGCTTCAGTGATGACGTGGGTGGACATCAATATGAGTGGGATGCCAGTTCGGCTCACTTTGAGCGCCACGCGTCCAGAAAATTTCTCATTTCGGTGGTTAGATTTCGGGCGGGCCTCTACAAAGTCGTTCAGCTTTAGCGACGGTCTGTTTGTGAGGGATTGAGCTGACGAGCGTGCGGCCGGAGATGAGCCCGGTGTGCCTAAGGGTACGAGTGATGATCTGTCAAATGTCCTCCCGGTAGTCTCTGTCCTTGTCGGTAACATGGTGGGCTCGAGGATCTGTTCAATGTAACAGACCTTGAGACCGCCATATTTATGCGGAAGATGTGATGACGCCCAGGTTGTGTCGAAGTCCTCTGGTACCATGATCTGGAGTAGACCATTTATCAGAACATAGAAACCAACGCTGCCCTGGAACGTAAGAAAAATATCTTGGACAAGGTCCAGTGATATTTGGGCTCGACAATCAATTGGTGCCGCAGGTCGCGGATCTGGAGGTGGCGTCACTCCGCTAATGGGAGGCCAATGATACTCCACTGGAAGTACCAAGGGCGCATTTGCAATGGCGAGGGGATATTGTTTCGGCTGATCTGGTTCCATAGGAGTGCAAGTCCAACAGCCAGCCTGACCATCGTGTCTGGTATAAGTGACATGGTATTCAACATCCCACTTCCAGTCGCCAGGAAGCCGGGACTGGATATCTAGCCAGTTTTGGGATGACGATGTCTCCAAAGACATGTAATCAGACAAGCAAGCAGATAAGCGGGCTTTGTGGGAAGCAGGAACGACATCTTGGCTGTTGTCAAGTCCGCGACTTGATTCGACTGTGGCCTTCCTAGCTTTCCAAGCTGACCGGAGTTCCTGAATTTCCCGGAATCGTTCGAAAGACAGCCTTGGATCCTCTTCACGAATCGTAGATGACGGAGTTTGAGGTAGGTCGGCATAAACGTGCCCAAGATTATCGGAAGCGTCAAGGGATTGAACTTTACGTGAAGGGTGATTAGGAAGATGAATCTCCAATTCCGAAGCCCTTGGTACTGGGATGTCAAGGTACGAAGATCCCATCCATTCTCGCGCATGTTTGTCGTTCTGATTGGGTGCGCCTTTGACTCCAGTCGGCCCGTGGAGAGACTGCGGCTGGTTGTGGAAAGGCTGCGGCTGATTTTGGAAAGGCTGCAGCTGATTGTGAAAATTAAAAGGCTGCAGCTGATTGTGAAGAGGCTGCGGCTGATTGTGGAAAGGCTGCACCTGATTATGCGCAGTGGGATAAACATAAGGTGACGGAAAGGTCCACGCCATATGCGGTGTCCCATGCGGAGATCCATGCGGAGATCCATGCGGAGATCCATACGCAGGCTGCGTAGTTTGATAGCTGCTCCATGGTGGAATCTCGGCGCTGTTGATCTTAGTGGAAGAGGTTAGGTGAGTATTGCTCTCAGGTCCGCCTCCCTCTATGGGCTCGCGGTGGATCTTTGATGACCCTGACTCGTCTGCGGTGTGTGGCCCCGACGATTTGCGTTGCCAAATTGTTGATCCGTCGCTTGGATCGATACGATAATGATCTTGATGTCGGTCGCTCCATTTCCAAGATAACTTGTATGGATTCATCACTGATGGAGTTTTCGCTCTGCGGTCCAAGTTTTCGACGTTTACGAGCCTATTCTTTGCAACACCTGCTGATCCTTTTCAGTTTCTCTGTATGCTCCGTATGACTTTCATACGACCAGGCTTCTAGTGGCTCGTGGAGATCAGACCAAGGCTGAGATATGAACACGCATACCAGAATGACGAAGAGACAGGCAGCGTCGAGTACGTGTTGAAAGAAGAAGATAAGTAGATTTACAGAGAGGAACTCGATATTAGAGACAGAGTGATAAAAGTGGCTTTTGGAAGCAACGGTGACAGTCGTAAAGTTGGTAACAATAATACCAGGCTGGAGTGCTAGCTTATGCCCGGCGCGCCACCGCGTCAGCGCAGAGATGCAGCATATCGGCACTGTTGTCCAATGAGGCTGCGCCGCAAAAGATATGAGCGCCTCGCTAACGTCGCGGTCTGTACCAAAGCCATGTAACATCACCACGACAGCGCTTTACTGTATCGAATATGCCATGCTATCACTTGCGGCGCGCCTGTTGTTCCTGAGCTCATCATAGGTACCATCAACGCAAGCAGACGGATGAATCACAGACTGCGCTCGCACGCCAGCACCACTGAGTATCCGTATCTCCGGCTGCACACGTCCCAGTACGACGGAAACTTCGTCCTCACCTGTGCCATTGCTATGGCGCATCTCACGAGCCTTCTACTTTGCGACGAGCCGGCTGGGTCCGAAGTTCTGAAACTCCCATCGACTTGCCAAAAGTACGTCTGTCTGCGAGCCTTCACTCCCTCAGTAAACCAGTAGGGATAGGCATTTGGTATCGTCCACATATCAGTGAAGACAACGGCGGATACCCAGTAGGTGTCGTCAAAAATTGTATGCCTTCCACTCAATTGCCGGGGGTATCGCGATAGAATCGGAGACGATTCTGATCGGGTCGACCAGGGTTGAGGCCATGTAGTCTTTTGTATAGGCTGTGGGCCAGATCTGGACTTTGCGCTGTCTCGTAGGGGTATTCCGTCTGCATCGCGTGCAATCGGCCGTTCGATGTGTGTCTAGGACTGCTTCCACACTGCCATTAGCTCAGGACTCGCAACGTCGAGACGAAGCTTGAAAAATCTATTGCGCCAGTTGTCTACTTACTACAACGCGTCAATTCGTCAAGTTCGCGTTGAATTCTTGCGATAAAGCCGTGTGCAGGTTCCAGGATTAATGGATAGCCTTCACATCGATGCGCGTTCACGGTCGCGTTATCCGACGCGTAAAAGACAGCTTCATACGCCGGTAGCGGTTCTCACGCTATCTTGTGATTCGCAGGAGACATCATCTTGTTGGGGGCGGAGGGATGTTTCCAGGATGCCGAAGGCATTCCCATAAGGCAGCATGTCGTAGGTGTAGTCGAGCCATCGTTGGTAGCAATGACGACGGCATCGCCCATCCAGCGGGTCGGCCGAGGGTGGCTTGTGCGCTTTGCGCAACGCCCACCCCAGGCCATTCCTCACAACGCCTATACCATGCCCATCATGTTTCTGCGATGAACAGCGTTGGTGGTGGGGATTGTGTACTGCGCCGCAATGCTGCATATGACGGTCGTGGCGGTAGCTATCTGTGCACGCGCACTGCTTCTGCGAAGCAAACACTCGTTGCGCGACCGTCACCATCATTACCTCGATCATGAGATCTAGGGTTCCTACATCAACTGTCCATCAAACATTACACCAACCAAAAGTGCGAGCTTCACTTGTGGGGGGAAGTAGATGCGTCCGGTTCACTTCTCCATGTTGCAGGCGCGCGTTCCTGTCGTCAACGGCTAGCCTGCAGAAGACAGACCACCGCGAGTTGTTCGAGTTTACTTCTGGTAGATGGATGTATACCACCTCACATTATTTCACTCACTCAACTGTTGGCTGACATGAACATGTAGTGTCAACGAGTCTTTGCGCATGGCTGAACGCCGCTTAGTCTTCAACGTCCCCGAACTCAAGAAGGTAGCTGCGAAAGCATTGAACAGACCAGCTTCAGATGTGTACGCGATAGAAAAGATCGCCGAAGGCGGCTTTAATCGCATACTGGAAGTAACGATGGATGATGGCTCGTCGGTACTTGCCCGTCTTCCATATGCATCAACCTTACCACGACGCCTGGCAGTAGCGAGTGAAGTCGCAACGCTGGACTTCCTCCGCACTAAGGGAATACCTGTACCTCGCGTTCTGGACTACTCGACTGGTGAAAACTCTGTCGGTGTAGAGTATATGCTTATAGAAAGACTACCAGGAAAGCCTCTCAGTGATATCTGGTTCAGCTTAGCCGAAGAGGAAAGATGTCATATTCTGCACAAAATAGTCTTAATGGAAACCAAGCTGTTTGCGTTTAAACTACCCGCCAGTGGAAGCATATACTATCCCCGCGACTTATCTGCCAATACCCCTCGGATTGGTATCCCTGGATCCAATGGCGGCTTGTGCGTTGGGCCTTATGCATCTATGCGATGGTGGTACGGCGAACGTGGAAATTTGGACATTGACCAAGGCCCTCGTAAGTCAAGTTTACCCATATGTTACATCTGATTGATTCTGAAACGTTTAGATGCCAATCCCGAGCTCGTTCTTCGAAGTCATGCCAAGAAGGAGTTGGCATGGATCCGGAAATACGGACGACCACGACACCCGTTCTATCGCGAATACGCTGAGTCATTTGGATACAAGAAGCAAGATCCTCAAGACCACGTCCATTCGCTAGGAGACTACATACGCCTCGTACCTCACCTTGTACCTAATGATGCGACACTGCATTCGCCCACCCTCCGACATCCAGATCTCTCTCCTAATAACATCCTGATATCTGACGATCTTCAAATCACCGGCTTCATCGACTGGCAACACTCCGAAGTTCTCCCTGCTTTCCTCGCCGCGGACATACCAGCGGCATTTGCAAACTACGCAGACGAAGAGTCTCGAAGCTTTACGGAGCCCAAACTACCGGAAACACTTTCTTCTATGGCTGAAAACGAGCGTGCTGAGGCAGAAGAACTATATCGCCGACGACACATACATTTCTGGTACCTTGGCCTCACTCAGGTGCTGAACGGGCCTCATTGGCAGGCTTGTACACACGACGGAACTTTCATGACACGTCAGATATTTCGCGATGTCGGTGCTCCGTGGGAAGGTGACAATGCTCATCTCCAGATCGGTATTGCGGATGTTGTGGAAGAATGGCCAGTGTTTGCGTCTGTTGCTCTGGACGGCACGGTACCGCCGTGCCCCGTTGTTATATCCAAGCAAGAGATGCAGAGAAGAGCAGATATGCGGAAGTCACTGCACGAAGGCAACATTTTTAGGGAAGAATTATGCGATAAATTGGGTGTATCCCATAGCGGATACACATCGCACGAAGGCTTTGACTTCGCGAAAGAGAAAGCAACCATGGCAAAGGAGTGTGTAGTGAACAAGCTGAAGGAAGACCCGGAGGAATTGGAGAGGACCTTACTTACTTGGCCTTTTGATGACTATGACGAGAATGAATAAGGTCATTGCTCTATTATCCTCCATGTATACTATTAGCATATGAGCGTTACAGCGTGACGACGTAAATATCACTCCACTCATGTGATTGTACACCATCCTTCAGAGACACTCGCACAAGACACGTTTGTGACATCGCAAGTTCTGTTGCACGCGCTGTATTTGACAAGCGCCCGTACGTGTGTGGTGGAGATTGAAGATGGCTATCTGAGTAACGCTGTCGTGCAACTCGATTGCGGGAC